TCTTGCTCGATCCCTGGACACTAACTCAGGCATTAACTGGTCTGTGGTGCATGTCAACTATGTAAAAATTATGTTGGTTACTTAATGCCCACTACTGAAGAGAAAAAAAAAACTATTAGTCTGGTGTTCATAGATAATGATCCAGACACTGTACTGAAGAGTGAAGATGAAACTCATCCCTTATATTACGGCTCATTAGTGTGCAGGACTACAAAGTGCTTTATGCAACAGCCATAAATATATATTTCTAAATAGGTTTGTAACACAGGGATGAAGACAGCAATATAAAGAAATGTTATAATACCGCTGCATAAGGTATGGTTACAATTAATCTGGAAAACTGGCTAAAAATTTATGACATCTCTGCTCAAGAAGAAGTGGTATAAACTGGAAGGAGACTAGAAATGTTTTTTCATTGAGGAGCCTAGAAGAGCTTGTTTTGTTCAGCCTAGCAAATCGAAGGGTTATGATCTCTCCCTATGCATTAGAAGAGGAAGAGCAGTTACTCAAGCTCCAACTTTGGCACAAGAACATAGATATAAACTGGCTCCAAATGCATTCAGGCAGGAAATTGGAAGAGGTTTCAAACCATCAGAGGTGTAAGGCTCAGCGGCAACCTGCCAACAGGGAGAGCGACGGGTAAAAACCCAAGACTGAGCTCCATAAATTACAACATGATTAGAAAATGTGGTTTCTTGTAATAGCAGTCGGTTACACAGGATGGCCAAGAGGCTCCTGTGGGCTCTAATCCCGTTTGGATTGGACCTCAATGAGAAGTTGTCTTATGGCAGGAGAGGGCCTTCTCTTCAGGAAGATACGGATGGAGATGGGAATGGGAGAGGGGCTGTACGGGAGATGAGGCAGAAGCTCGGCATGTGGGCTTTGAGAAATACTCTTTCTCCTGCCTGCTGTTCGATGGTCGGGTGAAGAAATAAGTGTGAAAGTCTTGAAATGGGCAGACACCAATAGAAACGTGTCCTCAGCAAAGCAAAATCCCAGACCAGGTCTGGCTGCAGAGACGGGGGAAGGCAATTTCGGGAGCCAGTTTGTCTGCTGGGGCTGGCAGTCCTACAGCTGATCCTCCTTGCACTGACATAAGTTTGAGGGCAGATGCTTAAAAATAAGTACTTTTATGATGTGTTTTTCACATTTTTAGGCAAGGCATGTGTAAATACATGTGAATGAACAGACTTGAATTCCTTGAGCCTGTGGTTTGGAGAAATCCAAAGGAGTTATAACATGCCAGCTTGAATTTCTGAATACAAGGGATTTTTGAGGATTTCTGTCTTTATTGTGTCTCAATAATAGGAGCAGCTGGTTATGGGCACAGATTTCCAATTAAACAAAAGATGGGGCTTTACTTCAGCTGCGGTGCGGCTTTCTGTATGGCTCCAGCATGCCGACGTTCAAGACCCTTGTATGTGCCATAAGAACTTAATTCCCTCTTGCTGTCAGCACAGTTGCTCTGACTGAGTCCCTTAAAAAGTAATGAAAATCTCATCTGAGCTAAAATTAGTAGCATGAAGGTTCAGGGCACCATTTTCCTCTGTGAGCCACTAGAGCTTGGACCTTGAGATCTTTGCAGTGTGGTGTGAAACTTGTAGCTGTCATGGGGAATTTATTCAGGAGCTAACATACGTGTTGATTCCCGTCCTGGGTCTTTTGCAAGGGCTTGAGTTATAAAATCTCCAAGCTTCATCAGTTGCTGTTCAGGTCACAGACTGAGGAAAGGAGAGCGGAGATGAACCTACACTGAACATGCATTTACACCTTACCTAAAGATACTCACTTCCACCACCTTGGTGTGGTAAAAGTACATTATCTGGGCCAGTCATCTCTGGGGAGCGCGTGCCTCGCTTGTGTCGATGTGTCACGGTCAAGTGCACTTTATCTCTTGTCCTTTCTTGAGCCCTGTAAGTTCAGCAGACTTGTTTCACTCCTCAAGAAACTGAAGTCTTGGATGCAGCAAGGAAGGGACAAGACAGGCCAAAGCAACTCTGTGCCCCAAGCCTGCGTAGTAATGGGGAGCAGATAAGCTAATTTATGGGCAGGTAAAGGAAAGGCAGAAGTCCCATAAAGAGCTCTACCTTCCTTGATAGGTCCTGATCCTGAGAGCAGAGCATGGTAGTGGGGACCTGAGGGCACTGAAGAGGGTCTGTAACTCATGTACGCTGGTGCCAGAAGCCAGAGCCGCCTCTCACTCTGCCCCCTTGCACACGTGCACACTGTAGTATTTTATCCAAAAGCTGTATTTCAGCACATTTTTAAAAGCTCTCCAATTTCACTTTGAGGTAGCAGTAAGTCCATCACCTCCCCAGTGAACTCTTACTATATCTAAATAGCCTGGCAGTTAGCAGCTCTTATTTCAAGGCTGGAGCTGTCTAAATCCAGCCTCCAGGCATCGGACCGTGCCGAATGCTTCCCAGCTGGACGGAGCAGCAGTCCCGCATACAAAATGCTTTTTCCGTCTGTGATGCGAGTGCTGCGTGACTTGGGGGCAGCTGGGGCAGGTTAGGAGATCCTGGAGCTATTCCCTCCGCCTTGGAGCGGATGGGGGAGGTGTGAGTGCATCACATACTGAAAAAAAAACCCAACACTGTAAAACCGTGTGTCTGGGCTTTTGCTTCGTTTCTGTATCCTGGGGTGTTTTCCTGGTCGTGGTAAGCTGATGCAAGCTGTTAAAAGTATTTAATCCGTGAACAATCTTATTATCAGGGAGGGAACTGGCTTCTTTTGGTGGGCTGCAGAAACAAAACCACTCACCCGACATGGTTTGCTTGGTTCTTAAATTTGAAGTGGCCGTGTGGTGGTCAGCAGAGGTAAGGGGCAGAGGAAGAGCAGGGAGTGGAAAAGAAAGCAGAAGAACCCTGGACCATACAATATAAACTTGTCCTGGAGCTTTATTCCAGCGTACGATTGCAGCTTTTCCTTGTTGTGGCGTTATTCTAGCATGCTGCCCCCTGATTTATAAATACAAGATTATTTTAAGTGGCACGCCCCGGGGAATTATCAACTATGATCAATGCAGCAGATGATTGTTATAATTACTGGTGCTCCGGGGGACTCTGAGCAGTGCGAAGAGCAGCTCTGCCGGTCAGTCCCTCACAGCACAAAGACCACTCGGATGCTTTTGAAAGGACTGTTTCTGGCTCCTTTTAATCCAAATTAGATTTCTGCCTAGAAAAATCATGTCATGCACTTTCACAAGTCTAAAACTTGTGGATGTACAGCCCTCATTCAAATGTTCTTCTTTGATGCCAGCAGGAAACGATGTTTCCGCGGGATCTCTTACAGACCAAGGACTGCTCCAAAGGCTTGGCAGGAATGGATGTCGTTCTCAACTGGTGAGCAGCAACGTTCAAACGGCTCGGCTGCCGTTAGCCGTGGGAGAGGAGTGCGCAGAGAGCCGCAGAGCGTGCCAGAACAAATAGCACTTAGGAAAATTATTTTTCCTTTGTTCCCTGCCTTTGTCCCTGTGACTCGGGTTTCCGAGAGCAAACCCAGCATTGCGGGGCGCCGGACCGCCCGGCGCCAGGGCTTGCATCCTTCTCCTGCCGCCACGTGCCAGCTCACAGGCACATCCATGGATCTGGGGGTGACAGCAGTCTCCCAGATGGGGATGCGGGGTCTTGGGGGGGACCCCAGCTCCCTCCTGGGGTGTGTGCCTGGCTGCATCACCATGTTCAGCAGACCCGGCCAGCAGTTCCCACTCTCCGTTTTGGAGCATCTGGCCTTGCTGCAAGGATTGTTTTCCTTCAAGAAATAAGTAAGTGCTTTGTATCCTGATGGCCAGGGAAAAGGAGGACGTGCCAGACTTGGGCCAGAGCACACTGAACCCCTTTTCCAGTTTCACACGTGCTATCATCTGTGGAGCTTGTGTGTGAGCCTACGTGTACAAGCACTCGCAATGTTTTGCAGAAACGTTGGGAAGGGTTATGTGCGTGTGGCTTGTTTGGTTTTGTTTTTCCCCTTTGTTTTTCCAAGGGAGGCCAGCAGGGACAAGAGAAATACTGAAGACACCAGATTCATTTCTCTGTCAGTTTTAAGCGCTCGGTGTAAAAGATCATTTAATGCCTGACGTGCAGTTAAAAGGCAGCACTGGGGAGGAGCAGGCGAGCCGCAGGAGCAGCCCCACTCGCCCAGGCTGGCACAGGCTTGTCAAAGCCACTGGCCGCCTTCCTCCCACTGCAGCCAAAGCTCGTGGGAGCTTGTGCACAGCGAGCCAGGGGACGGGGCCACGAGTGAGTGCACGCACACAGGCACCCACACACTGCACCAGCAGCTCCCCACCCTGGTGTGGTATGTCCCTGAGTGGGGTGGGGTGGGCTGCCGGGGTTGTGGGACCCTGGCATGGTCCCAGGGGAAATGTTGCTGTCCTGGGCATGAGGAGATGTTGGAGAATGTCGGCACGCCTGGATTTTGAACAGACTCCACTGCAAGTGAGGATTTACTGTGCTGTGCCTGAGTGGTGGCTGACCCACCGAGGGCCCCTTTTTGGGGACATCCGCGTTCAGGCACTCCGCTGCACACAGGCCAGCACGTACTACCCTCACGGAGCTCTTTGCAAAAGCCTTGCAGCTGGTTTTGCAGTTTGTTTGGTTTCATGAAAGCCAGGCGGGATTGCCCAGCTGGATGTGCTGGAGTTGTTATGGCTGAGCAAGTCGGCACCCATCAGCTGAGCCGCGCCAGGACACTGCGTGCTCCTTTGTAGTCCATCCCGGTGGTACAGTCATCCCAAACGGCCCAGTTTGGTGGGTGCCTTCGGTAGGGGTGTTGTACTCAGGGTGAGTACAACCGAATGCTACTTCCCAACAGCAATTCGTGGCATAAGAAACATGCTGTTTCCCCTCTGCCTACTTTAATTCATTGATCAAAGAGATCCTTCATCAGTGGCTTAAATTCACAGGTTGTTTGCAAACTTTTCATTCGAGAACAAGGTGGAAGACTTTGCCCACAAAGGTGCGGGTGTGGGTTTTGTCTTTGGTCACCCCTGGGACCACCAGTAGAAGCTGCAGTCCTGCCTTTATTTAGCAGGGCTGGGGTAGGTTTGTAAACTGTCAAAGTTAAACTGGAAACACAGCCCAAACCTAGGAAGACTACAGAACACAAAGGCATTTGTAAACTAATGTAATTACTTTCCTCAGTGCCTTTGAATAAAGTTGGCTCCACTTTAAAGGCTTTTTCCTACCCTTGTTTTACATTACGTTCTTTCCTTTCTCCTGGTTTCTTTCCTTTTTAATTTCTGTCTTCCCCCCTGTGCCCTCCCCTTTTAGCTCCAAGCAGCTGTTAATTTCCAAAATGTGTATCAGTTTTTGTTAGCAAACCTTGGCATTTGGACATTTTCCTTTTGAAGGTGAGACTAACACCCTGGGAAGATGGATATCTGCTGCGCCAGTTTCTCGGTTTCTGGCAGCACAGAGCCCGTCCGAGCTCCTGGGAGACCTCCCCGGGGCAGGATGGAGCTTGCCCGCCCGCCCGACGCGCCACGGCACCCAGCACCCACAGCCGGACTGACTTCCACGGCGCTGGCCAGCCCGGCCCCATGGCATCGGGGCCTCGTGACATTGTCTGAAGTCTTACTTTAACTCAGTCTGATGGTTTCCAGCTTTCTCCGGGGTTTCTCCCATCCAGATGTGTGCAGAGGTCAAAGTGAAGAGGGGCAAGTGGGGAAGCTGAGAATGAAACTGAGCCCGACCCCACACGTGGCTCCTGTGTGATAATGATGCTTGTTAGGATAATCATGGCCAGAGCAGATCTGTTGCGAGGGGAAATAGCAGATTGTGGAGCTGCTGTGTTGTATGGCAGAGGTATTTAATAATAAAACAGTCAAAGATACTGCGTGATTTAAAAGGGAAATGTTATCCATCCCGGGTCATTGCCCCACACTGTTTTCCTTATCTGGGTGCAGTTCATGTTGCAGAGCCTGTAAGGTCAGCGAGGAGCCGTCCGCTGGTGCTTGGGGGGTCTGGATCAGGCCCTTTGGCCGCAGTGGCCCTGCAAGGCTTACTAGCTACAAAGGCTTGTGCGTGCTTCGGAACAGAGCTGGACAGAGGAGGAGTTGTTTTAACAGAAAACAGTGACCTTTTGTACAAAAGCAAAGTGCAGACTGAGCAGCTTTAGTTTTTCAGCAAGTTAACATTTTCTGCAGGCCTTTTTCCTGAAAAGCTAGATTGACCTGAGACTCCCTCTCCTTTCCTTCTTTGTTTTTCCTTATTCTTGAGCATCACGACTGGGCTATGCCAGCCCAACTGCCATCTGCTCACACACAGGGTCGGAAATGCCATCGGCAGCCGGCTGGGCCCAGAGGCAGGGGACGTTGGCAGCCTGTGACCCTGTCCCTCCCGGGTTTGGCATTCTCTTCCAGGGAGCTGGGTGCATCCCTTGGGGAATGGGTGATGGACGAGAGAGCGTATTTGCACAAGCCTTGGTTAACGTCAGCTCAGGCAAGGGATTTCCTTCTGCTCTTCATCTGCACTCCAGCTGGACTTCTCGGGATAGGAGCGATGCCTCAGGTGAAAGGATATGTGCGTCCCTCTCATTCGGGTTTGTCCCCAGGAGGGATGGTGGGTGCAAAGGCAACAGCAGAGGAGGCCATCGACAGACCTAAGGAAAGGGTCTTCTCCCCACGAGATGTCCCACAGGTGCTGGGCAAGGACTGGCAGCTGCCTCCGCTCCATCTCTTCCATGCGCACCCCTGCAGAAGGTCCCTTTGGCTGATGCAGATCCAAAACAAACCCTTTCAGGTTATTTCAGGCAGCAGAACACAGGTTGGAGCCTGTTGTATTTATTTTGTTTTGCTTTTCAAACCAAATTGCCCATCCCTGCCGAGCTATGTTGCTGGTGTGATGGGAGCCAGTTCCTGCGGACCTGCTGAGACTAAATGGAATACTTCCCAGCGGAAGCAGGAGCAGAGCTGGGCACGTACATCCCGCCGCATCGGGCTCCTGGAAGGCAGCACCCAGGCTGCCGAAGGACCAACTCACATCCCTGCTTTTTGCCCAGGGTGAGCGTCTCGCATAGCTCATTGCTCTAGGGACCAGAGCAGCCTGACGGAATTTGGCAGCTCTTCAAAAAAAGAAAGTAATTTCTGGTCGCCACCAACTTCAAGGACTCAGTGGACAAAAATACCTTCATTGCAAGAAATAAAAACAGAAACTAACCAACCTGAGCGCAGGGGAAAGCAAGCAGTTCATCCGCATGTGGGGAATTTGGCTGAGAGAAGTCATCAGGCGCCTGCACCGACCGGCAGGGCGCAGCATGGCAGTGTGGTGGCCTGGCAGCCAGGGCATTGCCGGGAGATTTTCAGCTGCAAGCTCTGCCTCAGACGAGCTTCATGAACTCAGGGAGCTCATTTAACGTCATTATGCTGCAAATAGTCCTTTCCAGTGCGTATATTTGCTACCTCATGTAGCATGTCATAAGAATTTAAGTGTTTTTAATGTGCTTTGATGTCTCTGGATGAAGGATGCTCTATAAATGCAAAGTAAGTATTCTAATGTACATAGTTTGTTTTCTTTTTAACATAACAAAATACTTAGCAGCCTTCCTTTCTTTGACAGTTTCCATAGCTGGTGGGTCTGTTTCTGCTGTGTAAAACAAATTTAGGGTTTTGCAGTGGCATATGCTCAGTGTGTTCCTCAGCTTCGTGACCCGAGCGGTTCCCTTGTCATCAGCACTGCAGAGTTACAGGTGGAAATCTGCTAAAATTCTCCCTTTCTGCAAAACCTGATGATGGGGAAAGATGGATGTTAGGGTCGGTTTGGGGAGGAACCATAAATTGAGAAAAGCGATTGCAAGCACTGGAGCAGCTCTGCTCGCAGGTAGCTCTGAATGAGACAGCGGAGTGAGATGAATGCAGAGTAATTATTCCTGAATAGTGCCAGGTTTGAATATTTATTCTGGAATAATAAGTGATTTCTTCCTGTTGAAGGTAATTCCCTGTATGAGCCACCCCCAGCAGCCTGTACGCCCGTGGGTGAGCTCCCCTGGCAGCCAGCTGCGTGTGACCTGCCTCTGTGTCCCCATCCCTCCCGGGGACCCACGGTAGCTTGACATCCCACCGATGCTGTGGGGTTGTGCCGGCAGAGAGGGCTTCTCTGGGAAGAGCCAGCACAAGTGGTGCTTTCTAGGCCAAAGCTCAAAATGTACAGTGAGGGGGAAAAAGCTGATCAGAAGCCACTGCAAAGCAAGCATCGTTTGGGAGAAGCCCTGCGAAAGCTGCAGGCGGTGCAGCCACTCTGAAATGAGTTGCTGCAGCGTCTGAGAGCTGAGGGAGCATCTCGGGGTTACTCCCACCATGGCAAAGGCAGAAAGCTGTATGCACGGGGAGAACAGTTTGCCTGTGTCTAGCCAAGTGCGGATTTAAGGAAGCCATCAGCCCCCGGCTCCTGCCCGCGCATCTGGAGGCATCCGAGGCTGCAGAGACTCCCGATCCCAGACGAGCTTTCCCTTACCTTCACCTTCTCCGGGTTCTTCCCAAGCCGTTCAACGTCACCGTGGCCATTTTGGAGCTGATCCTCGGGCCAGTGAGTCCCATCCCGGTGCCTGGCCCGGCCCTTGAGTACACGTCCCAGGTGTGGCAGTCGGAGCAGAGACGCTGGGGTTCAGGGTGTGCTTCCTCTCCGGGCTGCCACTGGGCTCCTCCAGCGCCGGGGCATGCCATGCCCCACCACGCTGCCTTTTTAATAGCTGATTTTAATTATACGCTCTGAGACGAAAGAGAAAAACCAAGCCTTCCAACAGATTTTTATCTGCTGTTTATTTCCACAAATTACTTCAGAAAAAAGCCCGGAGGGTTTTGATGGAAGGTGGAGGCTGAGATAGCCGGCAACACGGAGGCTGCCGGGGCGCAGCCTTTTTAACCTCCTCTGCCGAGGCAGGTGCCGACACATCCCCGCAGCCGGCGCAACATGCTAACGCTATGGAGGCTGACTGAGCAAACGGTAACGAGCCCCGCTGCCTCGCCGGGGCTGCACCCCTCTTTCTCAGTGGAGAAAAGGCAATAAAACCAAAGCAGCGCGTGGCTGCCTTTCCCCGCTCGAAATCATCGGGAAGACCCGGTGCCCGTTGGCTCAGGGGGTGGCTGATGGCTGGGCAGGGGTGCACGGGCTCGCCTGGGGAGCCCCACTGCAGTCCCCTCTCTTGCTCCATAGGTGCACCAGTACTACAGCTGCCTGCCCGAGGACAAGGTCCCCTACGTCAACAGCCCGGGAGAAAAATCTCGCATAAAGCAGCTTTTGCACCAGCTGCCACCACATGACAATGAGGTTAGTAACCAAAAAGTGTCCTCGGACATCTATCAGGGCTGCGGGTGGGGAGGGGACGCACCTCCTGGGGTTGTTCTTATTGAAAGTGTGGCTGGTCCTTTCACAGCCCTTTCTGCTTTTCAGGGGCAGGGGGGGTGTTACTTGGAGTTTGGTCGTGTTGCTATTTAAGTGCCATATTTTCTCCCCGCTTGGATTGTGTTGGAGGTGGGGAGGGCATTGTTTGTAAAGTTAAATTTTTTTAAAATCATCTTTCTGCAGTTCTCGGAAATAAAAGCATTTTCTCAGCTCTCGGAGGCCAAAGCCACGTTAAAAGTGGCTTGAAATGCTGTTGAGATCAGCTGGAGCCAGAAGTTGCAGAAGCCTTTTCCCAAGTGCTGCTTCCAACTCACCTTGGGAGTGGGAGTGCATGTGCTGAGGAGGGGTTTCACTCAGGCTGAGCCTCGTGAGCTGGAAGCTGGGGGAGCCTGGCAAGCCAGAGGTTAAGTCAAGACCAGTCAGAGCAAACAAACCTTCTTACATCTCACAAGAAAGATATGAGGCAGCAAAAAGGGTCCAGTCTTTGACATCCTGTTCTCACCAGTGAGAACACTGGCTTCTGGTAGCCCACAAAATTTCCCTGTGTAAACAAAAAAAAGTTATTTTCGTGACGCTTTCTGAAGAAGCCACTCTGGAAAATACATGCAGGTAACTTGTTTGATCTAGGTCAGATTTTAACGAGTTTGCCTGCGCGTGGCTGGGTGCCACGGGCACAGCGCTGCCAGCGCCGGGGGAGCTCCAGGCACCGGGCAGGGGCTTCTTGCCGTCCACCCTCGGGCCCCAACCTGCCCGCCTGCCATCCCTGGCAGCCGCTGAAATCCCAGAGCCTCCGACAGCTGAAGAACATAGGAGTAATGCACATGAATGCTGCTGCTGCAGCCTGTGCTGCTGCAAGCTGGAGGAACGAGCCTACATGTATTTTCTGCAAATTGGCAGATTTTGCATCCAGTTTCCCCTCATGCTCAGTTTTGCTTCTTCCAAAAATTCAAGGTGTGTTGGTTGCTCATGTGAATAATCCTGCTCGGCTCCATGAGCAAAAAGTACTCTCCAAAGTAGCAGAGGCTGGATTGGGCACTTGATGCTACACGTGGCTACCTTGGCTCCTCAGTCGTATTCTCTGTTGGGATGCAATCAGCCAAGAGCTAAGCCTGCAGGATGAAAATAGCCAGGAAAACCTCAGAGTTTTATAAGCTTCAGGGAAATTGCATCGCTCATTGTTTGTATCCTTTTATTTGACTTATTTCCTTACTACCTTCCAACGCAGAGGTTTTGCATATGTGCAAACTTGACCCTATGCTGGAAGAATAGTTGGAGTTCCCAAATAGTGGGAACTCCATCATTTGCACAGGGAAAATGGGCTGTGCTCTTGAAATGCCAATAAAATATTTTAAAGCTTCTCTAAGACCTCTGCCATAAGGAGAAAGCAGGAAAAGTCTGTTTGCTGGGTCTGGGTGGGACTCAAGAGGACCCGACTTTTAAGACATTCCTACAGACATAGCACCCAAAGAGCAACCTTCTTTCTCCCCTTTCTTCTCATCTCTACCTCTTGAAATTTTGGCTGGGATGACTGAAACCCATATTGCAGTGCTTCTCCAGCCTCCCCTAAGCCCAGGACAGAGTTTGTAACCTCTGTGTAGAGGTTTGCAAGCCCATAACACTGAGCATCACTTGTGGTTTTTAGGTCCGCTATTGCAATTCGTTGGATGAGGAGGAGAAGAGGGAACTCAAACTCTTCAGCAACCAAAGGAAGAGGGAAAATTTAGGGAGAGGCAATGTCCGGCCATTCCCTGTAACCATGACGGGAGCCATCTGCGAGCAGGTGGGTAGCAGTTGACAAACTGGCACAAACGAGGCGGATTTGAATCACCAAAGTTAAGTGAGGCTTGTGGGAGCAACACCTGCCCCCCGTGAGCTACGAGCACTGGCGTCCATCACCAGTATTTGATGTGGAGCAGTCGCTTCACCTCCTGGCTTTGTGCAGGGGGCAGGCTGTTGATACCCTGGCCACAAAATGGGGATGAAAAGAGATTAAGAGGTACCAGAAATTAGCACCTTCTTCTGCCATGGTTGTGAAAGCAGCTGGTTGGCGGCGGGCGGTACCGCATTCGCCCACCCCCCATTAAACCCCAGCTTTTCTGACAGTGCGGTGGCCAGATCAACGGAGGGGACATGGCCGTCTTCGCCTCGCGAGCAGGGCACGGCGTTTGCTGGCACCCTCCCTGCTTCATCTGCAGTGTCTGCAACGAGCTGCTGGTCGACCTGATCTACTTCTACCAAGATGGGAAGATCTACTGCGGCAGGCACCATGCTGAGTGCCTCAAGCCCCGTTGTGCGGCGTGCGACGAGGTAAGAGCCAGCTCACCCCCGCTTCTGTCCACTCGAAAGATACATCCTGCTGTGGATGCTACCCGTGGGGATGGTATGGGAGGGTTCCCCTTGCCAGCTGGGGGGGGTATTTCTCCTCCATCTACCCTGGCGGCGGTGGGTCCGTTAGCACCGGGAGCCTCTGCATGGAGGTGTGCATACAAAATATGACAGTTTGGCTTTGCCAGCGACTCATCCAAGCTTTTCCTGGGGTTTCAGGTGAGCATCTTGGGGATTTTTAGTTGCAGTTTGCCTGCGGTTGTTCTGAGAGAGGTCCTCATCTAAATGCAGGATCCGGGGAGGCTTTCCATGAGGATTTCCAATAACAGCGCATCCTCTGTTCCTTGTGATTTTAGCCCAGCTGAGTGTCGTGGTCCTTTCTTCTCCTCCGTCTCCCCAGGAGAAGCCTCTGGCGGGATGAGTGCTGTGTTTCCTACAAGACAGTAGTGTTTGAGTACACACCGAGCTGAAATAGGCTTTAAGAGAGGCGATTAACGGGCTGTAGGAAGCTGAACAAATGGAATACAAAACGAATATAGAAAACCATACAGAGTCGCCTCTTGAGCATTTCTCAAGTGTCAATCTCTGTTTAAAAGGCTGGTGAAGGAAATTGTTCTGGCTTTTAAAGTTATGAAAACCATAGTGTGGAAAACCATGTGTACTATAAAATACCGTGTCCCATCTATGCAAGCATGTAATAGTAAAAATCCAAGGCTATATGCACTTCAGATATAAAGAACATTGACGTATGTATCCAATTAAATTTGTAATGTTAACAGTAAAAAAAACCTCCTAACCGTTTGACTGGCCCTATTTCCTTGTGGCTTAGGCTGGGTAACTTTTTCTCATGTATTTTTTATCCTTGCAAATTCTCATACAAGACTTTCTTTCAGCTCCTTCTTTAACACACACTTCTTCCCCTGAAACATCCAGCACTAATTGTGAGAAAGAGTAACTCAGGGGTAAGAGGAACTGAAGGGGAAAAGCTCTCGGAGTGACCTGTGCTGGGATGGAGAGCCAGGGGGAGAGGAGCTGGGCCGCTGCTTGCTCCTTGCAGCTTGGCTTTGGGAGTGGAGATGGGGTGGGGATGAGAAGTAGAGACAGCAAAAAAAAAAAGCATCTGATGGAACCCTTTCAGATGGCTGTTTCACCAACCCACTCTTAACAACGTTCTGTGCCTCAGTTTCCCCACTGGTGTAATGACTGCTAATTATCTTGAACACATGGGCTGGGTAGAGATACTGGGGAGGAGGCAGGTAGCTCCGTCTTCTCTCCCCTCCAGAGAGCTGCCACTTCTCCTTGTGTTAGCACTCATCCTTGTACTAGGGTCTGTGTTTCAGAGACGGGTAAATGTGTTTTAGTAAGCAGCTGCTCCGTTCTTCGGAAGTCCACCAGATCGATAGGTTGTATATAAGCGTGTTTATTACCCTGATCGACCCTTTCTGCTGATGGATGTGCTGAAGAGAATGTTACTGCGAGCTCTGCCTTAGCGCTTTGTAGTCTGTGGGCTAACGCAGTCCTGAGCTATTTGCATTTTAATGGATTTCCTTAAGAAGTGATGGGTGCCCCTGCTGCAAAGCAAACCACGGGAGTTTCCCACGGCTATAAAATGTGGAGGTTCTATGAGCAAAGCAGCGCAGCTGCTCTGCACAGGCGGGAGGCACGAAGGTTGGCGCCCGTATCCCAGGTCCCCTTTCTGACCGACTCTGTTCCACGTTTCTGTTTCCCCCCACAGATCATTTTTGCCGACGAATGCACCGAGGCCGAGGGGCGGCACTGGCACATGAAGCACTTCTGCTGCTTCGAATGTGAGACGGTGCTGGGGGGGCAGCGGTACATCATGAAGGATGGCAGGCCCTACTGCTGCAGCTGCTTCGAGTCCCTCTACGCCGAGTACTGTGACACCTGCGCCCAGCACATCGGTACGTGCTGCTGCCTCGGCTCCAGGGCCAGCGCGGGGCGGGAGGGAGCGGGGCAAACCTCTGCTTGGAAGGTTGCTTCTGGCAGCAAGAGCTGTGGCACTAAGTCTTTGACAATGACCTGGGGCTGCAGGCAGAACTGCCCACAGCTGGGATTTGCTCCAGCACTGCGGCATCTGAATTGGTTCGTGCCCCTGTCGCATCCTACAAGGATGTTATCCCAGTAATTTGTTTGGTTAAACCACTGTTTATCCCTTTTTATGGTCAGAGAGGGGAGGACTATCAGAGAGAACAACCTCAGGAGCTGTTGCAACTAGTGAAAACTTTCTCTGGCCTAATATAACACACTTTTTTTTTTTCCTTTTAAATCTCATTTTCCTGTAAACAGCCTGGCTCTTCAACTCTCAGATTTTTTCCCAGCCAAGCTTGCCAAACTCACTTGCATGAGTTAATGAGCTACTGACAGGAAAGATGCTTGTTCATTCATCATTATTGTTTCTATCTGCTTTTCTTAATCAACCCACAGATAGATGTTCTCAGACAGAAAAAAATAAACCAAACCAACAACAAAACCCAACGCATCAGAATCGATTTATGTTTCTAGAATAGTGATTGAAAATGTACTTTATTCTGGGGGTTAGCTGTCCCCCCAGCACTCAGAGGGTGGTAAGCCGGGTGGGCTGGGAAGCCACCTCGCTGCTCTCCCCAGTCCTGTTTGCCACTTGGCTGAGCATTTGCTAGCGGGTGGGCAGGCAGCCCTTTCTTTGTCCGTGGAGGTGAGCTCATGTGTTCAAATAACTCATAGGCTGCTGGGAAAGAAGAAAAAACAACCATTTTGCTCTTGTGCAGCAGCCAGATGGCACAGGGAGGAAGACTCAGGGCTTCAGCGAAGCACTTGGAGGACACATTTGCTGTGACCTGCAGCACATCCTTCCCGAAAGCTCAGCTGCGGAGCGGTGAAGACGCAGCTGTTAATGCTTCTCGCATGCTTCCTTCTCTCGTGCTTCCCCCATCTGCTGTCCTCCCCTCAGTCCAGCCGGCTGGAGCCTGCTGACTGTCAGGTTTCGGGGCAAAATGCCTGTTTTGGTGCATATCTGCACATTTCTAGCAAAGGAGAGACTGCAGCCATTTTGCTGCAAGTTGCTCATAGTAGTCACTGAGTGTTGTGATTAAGAGCCACACAAATCAGAGGTAAGCCTGTGCTTAAGATTTGTAAGGCTTGGGGCTGGGTAGCCGAGGAGAGAGTGAGGAGTCTGTGCTCCTTCCTCTGCGAGATGGCTTCAGGGCATTGGAAAAGGAGCTGATAAAATCCCACCCACTGTCTTGCCCACAAGCCTAGCACTCCAGTTATATAAAAGCATTTCGCTCGTTGTAAGGAAAGAAAAAAGCCCAGTTACACTAAACCAAATCTAGGTTGGAACAAACCGGACCGTTAACTTACTGTTCATTTGTAAAACACCCCAGCAGCATTCGGCCCCCCCAGCGACACGGCTGTGGCGGGTGTGCAAGCACGTGCAGTGCACCCGTGGGATGCAGCACCCCGCCGTGCCGCCCAGCCCTGCCGTGTGCGGCAGTTTCTCAGGTAATGGGGGCTTTTGCCATGAACAGCAGCTTCAGCAAGTGAATAAACGTTATAATTGAAAGCCCGGGAGCTTCGCTCACAGCTCTGAGCAAGAGCGATGCGCGTGCAGCAGGCATGTTCTCCCCAGGGTTTTGCTGGTAGGGGCCAGACTCTCTGCATCAATTCCGTTAACCTGAGGGGGGCTGGAGGGAGCAACCCAGGAATTTTGGCTGGGTGCAAGGCAAAGGTGTGTGCTCAGATCCTTGGGGCAGGCTCTCTGCACTCCCTTTTGGAGAAGGGGCACCAATCGCCAAAATAAAGTTAGGATGGGGGCGCAGTAGCAGTGACGGACAGGGATGTCATCTCCTCTGTTACATACTTAGCCAAGGCAGCACAAATTCCTCATTATGGTTCATTTGGAGGCTTTTAGGTTTGTTTTTTTTTAAGTAGGGAGCATATTATTGCTTTGACTTCAAGGACTTTATGGAGAACTTCTTGCATTCCTTTGCTTTATGATCGGAAATATCCCCATTTAATATGAAATAGCTGGAGGCTTGGCTCTGCTGCCTTTCCCAACATTGAGTAACTCCCGAGCAAAGGCCTGCAGACTGCAAGGAATTAAAAATGGCCTTAACTTCATGCATTGGAGAAACCCTGCTGAAGGGTTTTGGATAGTGAACTGGGGGTGCATGTCGCTCGTAGGGGATGCACATGTTAAGTGCAGTGTGAAGTGACGCCCGCGGGCTGACTGATGCTGTACATCTTCCCCCTCAAGGTATCGACCAGGGCCAGATGACGTACGACGGCCAGCACTGGCACGCCACCGAGACCTGCTTCTGCTGCGCCCAGTGCAAGAAGTCCCTGCTGGGACGGCCCTTCCTGCCCAAGCAGGGGCAGATCTTCTGCTCCAGGGCCTGCAGCGTTGGCGACGACCCCAACGGCTCCGACTCCTCCGACTCGGCTTTCCAGAGCGCGCGAGCCAAGGAGTCCCGCCGCAGTGCCAAGATTGGCAAGAACAAGGGGAAAGGCGAGGAGGGGGCGCGCAGCCCATGCAACCAGCTGCAGGTCACCTCCAACCGCCTCTCCACTGATGTGGACCCGCTGTCCCTGCAGATGGATTTGCTGAGCCTGGCCAGCCAGACGCCGAGCCTCAACAGGGAGCACTTGTGGAGGAGCCGGGATGAGCTCTATCACTATGGGAGCAAAATGGAGCAAAGTCAGTCCCAAAGCCCTTTGCAGCTTCTGAGCCAGTGCAACATAAGGACCTCCTATAACCCCAGCCAGGTCCCGGGCTCGCAGCCGGATTTATGGGCGAAACATTTCAGCAACCCAAAGAGGAGCTCCTCGCTGGCGATGAAGAGCCACGGCGGCAGCTTCATCCAGGACTGCAGGGAGGACTACTACTCCGGGAGGCTTCGCTCGCAGGAGAGCTACAGCGACATGTCCAACCAGAGCTTCCCTGAGACCAGAGGAAATCTTAAAGTCCCCAAGTACGAAGAGGAAGAGGAAGGCGGGATGCCGACACCGCAGTGCCGCACCCGGCACCCCATCAACGCCCTCAAGTTCTCAGAGGACCTGACGCCCACCGAGCAGACTCCCCGCGGCTCCATGGAGTCCCTCGCCCTCTCCAATGCAACAGGTACGTCACCCCTGCTCCTGTCACCCTGCGGCCACCCCAGGACCTCCTCTGTGCGATGGGGTCCCCTGTGCTCCAGGTCAGTGCGACGGCAGGTGTCTTCCCGTTACAGGGGGGACTGGCAGCTTGGGGACCATGGCTTGGTGCCATGGGCTTGCCTGCCCAGCCCTGGTATGCCTGGCAGCCTCCTCTCGCTTTGCTTGCTTGTTTACCAAATGCAGAGCTTTATAGATGGCTGGCCTTTCTGTGTAGCTCAAAACAAATGTTTTAAGCTCTTTAATCCTCCCTTTTGTGAAGAGGGGAGAAAAATCAAGGCCAGCTGCTAATGCAGAGGCAGATTCCAGCCTTCAGTGCTTGAAGGACTGCTGTCAGCTGCCCTTGCAGGCTAAAAATATTTTTAAATGCTTTGAAATAGGCCCAGTTAACCCCTTTTGCATGTTACGCAGTCCTTGAGCACGTGACTAGTTAAAAGAAATTCCTTCCCCTCTATGCACGGCTCTTGTTCTCCTCTTCCCCAGTCCCTTGGTAGAAACTGCATGGAAAGGCACGATGCTTGTCCCGTCAGGCTGCACCCATTTCTCATGAGCACATCCCAGGGTAATATTTCTCAGTCCTCTGACCCCAGACGTGTTTGGGTTTCGTGTTGCGGCTGTGGGGATGGGTGTACGTGCACAGACGTGTCTGTGTCGGGGCTCTGGTCCGCAGCTCGGCGCTGGGGCAGCTCAGCCCCCTGCACACACCGTCCTGCAGCCTGCTGCAGTTTGTATTATCAGATGCCTGCCCTCGCCTGGCACAACTATCGCTTGCTTCCAAGTCCCTCAGCAGAAAACTTTGCAGAAAAGAAAATACCGAGCCTGGTTTGCTTGTCAAAGATATACTGCCTTGCTTTTTCTTTGCTGCTCTCCCGGCTTTCCTCTGCTCCAGCCAAGCATTGCTCAGATTGGGGTAGGCCCTGCGCCTGCCCCCTGCAAAATAGAGCCCGTCTGTCTTGCTGTCACTGGCAGTGAACACACTGCAGGGTGTTTGGGACCTGGTCCTGAGGGTTTCCCTGCGGGACGCTGGCACTGGGTGGTGGGGATGTGCCAGCGAGCATCGCCAGGCCCCCCAAGAGCTGAGCACCACCGAACCCCAGCTCTGGGCTCTGCCCCGCCTGGACGGACAGGTTTGCTCTGCTACGCCCGTGCCTCCTCGCCTCGCTCCTGGGTTTCGGTGTGTTTGTTTAGGGAAGTTGCCAGCCCCGTGCCAAGATGTGAAACGATCTCTGTGTTCAGCCAGGATCTCCCTGTCAAGTGATAAAGCAGGGGGGAGAGGAGAAGCTAATGAGCGGGAGAGGTTTTTTGCTCAAACAGCCTTGGATATACGTGGAGGCAAAATAGATGTGAAATGGCAAGGGAGTTGGGAATTGCTCGCCCAAACAAGGTTTCCCTAAGCAAAGCTCCACGTTTCCAAAGCTACTTGCGTTCCTGAAAACTCGTGTTGTGTAAACCACATCAGTACAAAGAGTCTTGAGCAACATCAAGTTCAGATGAGCAATCCCTGAGTGCTGAAGGGGTGGCTGCATGCTTTGGAGCTGAAGTGTAACAGGGTATAGGGGATACAGGTCAAGAGACAGGAAACATGGCAAGACCTTCATATTAGAATGAAAATCATGCTGTCCTTCATTTTAGAAACCTCCTTTTTAAATGCTGGGAGGGACACCTTCCAAAGGCATCATCCTCCACGCTCAGCCAAAGTATGAATTTCCTTACGGGCAGTGCCTGCCTTAACGACTTGGTTCTTTCCTGCTTTCTGGAGCAGATGCTCAGCATGATGGGGCTTGCAACAAATTTAAGCAGTTCCTCTGCAGAGTGAGGTGATAGCATTTTTATTAATGTGTAAGATTCTAATAATTTTCCCTGCTCTGGGACCTGGCTCAGCATAAGCTGGGGGGGCACTGCAGCAGTAACAGGCAGCTCCCCATGTGTGCAGTTACGGAGGACACAATTATCATCCCATCTAATTGGCAGCGTTCTGAGGACAGGGAGGTTCAGTGACCTGGCCGAGGTCTGCAGGAAAGCAGGTTTTTGGGCAGGGGGGTGTCAGGGCACAGCACCCCGCTGCCTGGCTTTTCCCATCCCACACTCCCTGCCACGGGTGAGCAAGCTGCCCACCGAGCACCCCCACAAAACTCCCCCAACACAGCCCAGGGGTCTGGCTTGCCCTGTGCCCTCCACCCTGCATGTCCCAGCTCTGCTCTGCGGGAAACTCCCAGGCATCCACATACAAGGTCCCTTCAAGCTACTGATGCTGCACAGTTGTTCCACCTTCTAAAGTGAAATAATTAACACCGCATCCATCTAACTTTTTATGGCATTGCTGAAAACGTTCCTTTTCTTTTATAGGGAGCTGAAGGGCAAACAGTCCCTGACCTGCAAGAGCACACATTAAACGCTGGTCCCTCCCTAGCAGCAGATTTTGCTGTGATGTTTCTATTAGATCTTAACTAATAATTAGCCGGAGACATCAGTAAAAGCAGATAACTCGTGGGGTGTGCAGCAGTAGTTCCTGTCCCCTGGCCAGAAGGCTGCCTCCTGTGAACAGATGCTGTCCCTATATATTTGCAATAGCATTTAGTGCCAGAGCAGGGGTCACCAATGGGGTGGGTCGTTCATGATCTGCATGACCCCAAGTCTCCTGTGGGACCTCAAGTTTTCACCTTACCAACCAGGCTCTACTTAGTTAATCACTTTAAAGCCAGTTCCTCATGGGTTTGTAAAGAGGTGTGACACCCTGGTAATCCTGGGCCCTTGCCCTTAAAGTGTTCAGTTGTGCTCTGCTGTCTCACGGTGGGCAGTAGTGAGTTGTAGAGGTAGCTGTGACCCTCCTTGTGCTCTGCTTCAGGGTTTGAATTAGATGGGAATGTCTCTGCTTTCCTCTGTTTTGTGCTTGTGTAATTGCCACAAATGCTGATGTGATTTAAACACATCCACTGGCAAAGGGCAGAGATTTCTGCTGGTGGAGGGCATCTCTCCTTTCCTCCCACTTTTCTGTTTGAAAATCCCTTTTCTGCCATCAACTGAAGGCTACGACAGACTCCGACCCACTACAGCTTCTTGGAGACTGGGTCTTCCTCCTGGCCAACAGGGACTTTAGATGGAGAGGCAGAGAGCTAAAATATTTCCCAGTACATTTTCCAAGAAACAGCTCATTTTTGCTGATTTTGTATTATCTGTTATGTTTTATTTCCTTTGGCTGCTTTTGCTTTTTTTCTTTTTTTAATGGCACTAGCAACAATACAAAACAGTGGATGCTGTAGCAATGTTTACCCTATAACTCCCTTTATTAAGCAATCAGGACGATGCTAAAATGGAGTTTGTCCAGGAACCTTTTCTCATGAGGAAAAGCCTGATCCTACCAGAGGTTAATCACTTCCCAGAAGATATTTGGTCCATCACAGCCCTGCTCCCAGCGCTTGCGCTCTGCCTTGCTCTGCTTGTGCTTGATTTGCCCTCTAAAAAGGTTTTGCAGGCGCTGTATGTGCCTGGCAGCTGAATTAGAAATCAAGAGCTGATCTCTGCTGATTCCAAAGAGTCATTTCCACAGAATTCCAGCTGGTCAAATAGCCCACTTAAGAAAGTACCTGCGGGCTAAATGTTATTCTCTGGGAAGAATCTCTTTGTGTGCAGCTTGCAGATATCAGGAGTGCTTTGGAGGTAGAAGTTGTGTTGAACAGTGAGACTGTTCTATGCAAAAGGAGAAATGGATTTTAAGTATTCCTTGAGAAAATTAGTTTGGGTGAAGGTAATAGCTTCATCTGTCACAGGCATAAATCCAGGGAAAAAAGATGTTACACTGGTGCCCTGACAGGGTGGAATGTGATTTCACATGTATGGCACACATTTCTTCTGTCATCTGTGTTGTGAGATGCCCAGAGGCCCCAAATAGTTGTTTTTCCAGGACTCAACAACTGTGATATACCCAAAAAGTAGAGAGAAAAAAAAACATATGAATACGCACGTGGGTTGGCACTGATCCCTGCACATCTGAGTTGCAGAGTGACCTGACAGCATCATTTGTCTCCAGTCCCCTCTTCTTCCTCTGCCTGAGGAGGAGCTGAAGGGCGTGGGGGTGGGGAAGAAGAAAACCCCGTTGCTCAGGGCCAGCGTTTATTTTCCAGATAAGGGTTCAATGTGCCAGCCTCTCCTGCACCGAGGGCTTGGGAGCAGCTCCTGAACACCCTCAGGGATGGCAGTGAGGGGCTCAGGGTCTGGGGCTGGTCCCCATCCCCATGTCCTCAGCACCACTGCATCCCATGGGTGCTTCTCTCCCCCCCTGGCTGGAGAGGGTGGCTGCCCTGGGCACTTCAGCTGAGTTATGCGAGCCAGAATATGACACATTGGCTGTTCCTGACTTTCTAAGAAAAACAGGCTCCCAGCTCTCCAGCACACTCCTACCACCCTCTTTCCCCTAGACACAGGCAGCATAAAACTGCTTCTGAGTCAGAACATAGGATCCTTGGGGGGATTTCTTGCAACTTTGAGACACAGGTATAACATTCCCCAATCCAAGCTGGGTCATTTTGAAACCCAACGTGTGAAGACAGAGGTTTTTCCATCCCAAAGGGCCAATGCCAAAACTGCCAGGGATGTGGTGTAGCTGGGAACTATCACTGTTAGGTTAATGGTTGAACTAGGTGATATTCAAGGTCTTTTCCAACCGAGATGATTCTGTGATTCTGTGAACATTTCTTCTCCCCCTCGCCCACCTTTTACTACTCGGCAAAGGTGCAGAAGGCAAATGCAGGGAATGAGAGAAGGAAGAACAGCTCATTGTAGGAGATCAGGTTCGAGACCGTCTAAGGAATGTGAAGGAGCACAAGTCAATGGGAGCTGATGAGATGCATCCACAGGTCTTGAGGGAACTGGCAGATGAAGTGGCAAAGCCACTAGCCATCATATTTGAGAAGTTGTGGCAGTCCAGTGAAGTTCCTGGTGACTGGGAGGTTTGGTGTGCCTACCGCAGGG